GTTCGCTTCATTAGATGCACTGGTCTTATGTTCTTTTAACAAGTGATTGCTGGAACTTCGGCCTATTGATATAAAATGATGGCTGACAGTATGTGACTGTACTGGTATACTGGTCAAACAGATGAGAGTCTGCAGGGTGTCAGTATTTAGCCCTGTTGTATGACACGTACTGGTATACTGGTCAAACAGACGAGAGTCTGCAGGGTGTCAGTACTTAGCCCTGTTGTATGACACGTACTGGTATACTGGTCAAACAGACGAGAGTCTGCAGGGTGTCAGTACTTAGCCCTGTTGTATGACACGTACTGGTATACTGGTCAAACAGACGAGAGTCTGCAGGGTGTCAGTACTTAGCCCTGTTGTATGACACGTACTGGTATACTGGTCAAACAGACGAGAGTCTGCAGGGTGTCAGTACTTAGCCCTGTTGTATGACACGTACTGGTATACTGGTCAAACAGACGAGAGTCTGCAGGGTGTCAGTACTTAGCCCTGTTGTATGACACGTACTGGTATACTGGTCAAACAGACGAGAGTCTGCAGGGTGTCAGTACTTAGCCCTGTTGTATGACACGTACTGGTATACTGGTCAAACAGACGAGAGTCTGCAGGGTGTCAGTACTTAGCCCTGTTGTATGACACGTACTGGTATACTGGTCAAACAGACGAGAGTCTGCAGGGTGTCAGTACTTAGCCCTGTTGTATGACACGTACTGGTATACTGGTCAAACAGACGAGAGTCTGCAGGGTGTCAGTACTTAGCCCTGTTGTATGACACGTACTGGTATACTGGTCAAACAGACGAGAGTCTGCAGGGTGTCAGTACTTAGCCCTGTTGTATGACACGTACTGGTATACTGGTCAAACAGACGAGAGTCTGCAGGGTGTCAGTACTTAGCCCTGTTGTATGACACGTACTGGTATACTGGTCAAACAGACGAGAGTCTGCAGGGTGTCAGTACTTAGCCCTGTTGTATGACACGTACTGGTATACTGGTCAAACAGACGAGAGTCTGCAGGGTGTCAGTACTTAGCCCTGTTGTATGACACGTACTGGTATACTGGTCAAACAGACGAGAGTCTGCAGGGTGTCAGTACTTAGCCCTGTTGTATGACACGTACTGGTATACTGGTCAAACAGACGAGAGTCTGCAGGGTGTCAGTACTTAGCCCTGTTGTATGACACGTACTGGTATACTGGTCAAACAGACGAGAGTCTGCAGGGTGTCAGTACTTAGCCCTGTTGTATGACACGTACTGGTATACTGGTCAAACAGACGAGAGTCTGCAGGGTGTCAGTACTTAGCCCTGTTGTATGACACGTACTGGTATACTGGTCAAACAGACGAGAGTCTGCAGGGTGTCAGTACTTAGCCCTGTTGTATGACACGTACTGGTATACTGGTCAAACAGACGAGAGTCTGCAGGGTGTCAGTACTTAGCCCTGTTGTATGACACGTACTGGTATACTGGTCAAACAGACGAGAGTCTGCAGGGTGTCAGTACTTAGCCCTGTTGTATGACACGTACTGGTATACTGGTCAAACAGACGAGAGTCTGCAGGGTGTCAGTACTTAGCCCTGTTGTATGACACGTACTGGTATACTGGTCAAACAGACGAGAGTCTGCAGGGTGTCAGTACTTAGCCCTGTTGTATGACACGTACTGGTATACTGGTCAAACAGACGAGAGTCTGCAGGGTGTCAGTACTTAGCCCTGTTGTATGACACGTACTGGTATACTGGTCAAACAGACGAGAGTCTGCAGGGTGTCAGTACTTAGCCCTGTTGTATGACACGTACTGGTATACTGGTCAAACAGACGAGAGTCTGCAGGGTGTCAGTACTTAGCCCTGTTGTATGACACGTACTGGTATACTGGTCAAACAGACGAGAGTCTGCAGGGTGTCAGTACTTAGCCCTGTTGTATGACACGTACTGGTATACTGGTCAAACAGACGAGAGTCTGCAGGGTGTCAGTACTTAGCCCTGTTGTATGACACGTACTGGTATACTGGTCAAACAGACGAGAGTCTGCAGGGTGTCAGTACTTAGCCCTGTTGTATGACACGTACTGGTATACTGGTCAAACAGACGAGAGTCTGCAGGGTGTCAGTACTTAGCCCTGTTGTATGACACGTACTGGTATACTGGTCAAACAGACGAGAGTCTGCAGGGTGTCAGTACTTAGCCCTGTTGTATGACACGTACTGGTATACTGGTCAAACAGACGAGAGTCTGCAGGGTGTCAGTACTTAGCCCTGTTGTATGACACGTACTGGTATACTGGTCAAACAGACGAGAGTCTGCAGGGTGTCAGTACTTAGCCCTGTTGTATGACACGTACTGGTATACTGGTCAAACAGACGAGAGTCTGCAGGGTGTCAGTACTTAGCCCTGTTGTATGACACGTACTGGTATACTGGTCAAACAGACGAGAGTCTGCAGGGTGTCAGTACTTAGCCCTGTTGTATGACACGTACTGGTATACTGGTCAAACAGACGAGAGTCTGCAGGGTGTCAGTACTTAGCCCTGTTGTATGACACGTACTGGTATACTGGTCAAACAGACGAGAGTCTGCAGGGTGTCAGTACTTAGCCCTGTTGTATGACACGTACTGGTATACTGGACAAACAGACGAGAGTCTACAGGTTGTCAGTACTTAGCCCTGTTGTATGACATGTACTGGTATACTGGTCAAACAGACGAGAGTCTACAGGGTGTCAGTACTTAGCCCTGTTGTATGACACATACTGGTATACTGGTCAAACAGATGAGAGTCTGCAGTGTGTCAGTACTTAGACCTGTTGTATGACACGTGATGGTATACTGGTCAAACAGAGGAGAGTCTGCAGGGGGTCAGTACTTAGCCCTGTTATATGACACGTACTGGTATCCTGGTCAAACAGACAAGAGTCTGCAGGGTGTCCGTACTTAGCCCTGTTGTATGACAGGTACTGGTACACTGGTCTAGTCGAGAGTCTGCAGTGTGTCAGTACTTAGTCCTGTTGTATGACACGTACTGGTATTCTGGTCAAACAGATGAGAGTCTGCAGGGTGACAGTACTTAGCCCTGTTGTATGACACGTAATGGTATACTGGTCAAACAGACAAGAGTCTGCAGGGGGTCAGTACTTAGCCCTGTTATATGACACGCACTGGTATACTGGTCAAACAGACAAGAGCCTGCAGGGTGTCAGTACTTAGCCCTGTTATATGACACGTACTGGTATACTGGACAAACAGACGAGAGTCTACAGGTTGTCAGTACTTAGCCCTGTTGTATGACAGGTACTGGTATGCTGGTCTAGTCGAGAGTCTGCAGTGTGTCAGTACTTAGCCCTGTTGTATGACATGTACTGGTATACTGGTAAAACAGACGAGAGTCTACAGGGTGTCAGTACTTAGCCCTGTTGTATGGCACGTACTGGTATACTGGTCAAACAGATGAGAGTCTGCAGGGGGTCAGTACTTAGCCCTGTTATATGACACGTACTGGTATACTGGTCAAACAGAGGAGAGTCTGCAGGGTGTCAGTACTTAGCCCTGTTGTATGACAGGTACTGGTATACTGGTCTAGTCGAGAGTCTGCAGTGTGTCAGTACTTAGCCCTGTTGTATGACACGTGATGGTATACTGGTCAAACAGAGGAGAGTCTGCAGGGTGTCAGTACTTAGCCCTGTTGTATGACACGTAATGGTTTGATGTGATGTTGAACAGTCTCGCCAGATCAATCAAAATTAGTGTAACATTTCTTGGAAAATACTTGCGACATGCAAAACTGTATGTTCTGGTAGTCGTGTTTGTATCAATTATAAAAAACCAAGGCAAATTCCAAAATGACCGGTGAATGAGATGAAATTATTTAGAACATCTCTGTTTCCTTTTATAAATAGTCATTGTGTAGTGTGATACCATAAATAAATTGCGACCTCTCTGCCAGTGTGATGTGACACTATAAATAGGTAATTTGACCTATTTACCTGTGGATACTGTCATCATATGTTGTTATATTAGCTGTTGTGAGGTTTAAATATAATTGAATTATAAAAAATGAGAAGGTTGTTCTACTAAATGTAGCAGAAGGTACATTTGGCTATCAACGTCCACAACAGTATTGATTACGACTACATTGGCTAATCTGATGGACTGTTGTGGATGTTTAGCGCTATAACATTTTGAACAGTACATGTAGTCTCCATGATAAGCCATATATCTTAGGTTTTAAAAGGCAGTGGATGGCTTTAAGGTGACATAGAGAATCACTACAAGGTTTTAATGTCTCCTCCTGGTCTGTTGGGGTGTCCGTGGTCAGACCCAGCACATAATGTGACAAGAAACATATACCAGGTAGAGATAAAACACGGAGTTAATGGGTAAACAAGAACAGTCCCCCAGTACTGGTACCATGTGTTCTTGTTTCTGTATTGAGAATCAATATATCTATGTAAACCAGAAACTAGGTCTTTTGAGTCCATTTACTTTTGTTTGCAAGTCTGTCATGATGAAATAAAAAAAAAAAAATGTTGTTCTTATCAGAATGAGGAGAAATGGATTTCTTCCGTCACTCCATTGGTACAGTATCCGTGATCCCACACAGGCTTGCTTCTGCTTTACTGTAAATACTTAAAAACATTTTTTTTTTTTTTTTTTTTGCTAGCCCAGTAGTTCTAAATTAGTATAAAGTTAAAATGATTTCATATCTATACAAATGTATTGCATGTATTTGATTAATTTGACAATGAAAAGGGATTCAGAAAGAAGATTTGAAAATTTATACAAATCTGTTTCCTTTAGTTAGTACTAAATTGGTGCTGCATATGCTGCATAATACTTATAAAATGAAATGTTAGCCTAGTAATACTAAGTTGTTGCTGCATATGGTCAGGGGGTCCTTGGGTAGTCAAACCTAAATTGTAAGTATAGTATATATATATATATATGTACCTGTAATGTTTGCCTATCAGGTGTTAACCGTATGTTCCTTTGATGTGTTACAGATCTATGCTAGGTTGTGAGGAATTACAGAAATATGACAGAGTACGTGTGTTTTTGGATGAGGACTACACTGCTGCAGACAAGTTCACAGTAAGTATATATATATATATATACATCTCCAATGGAATTAAAAAATATTACGCTTGCTTTGGAGATATACTGGAACCAGGCTGTAACTGCCTGTCAGCACTCTATTTGTAGACAGTGTCTGCACTACTCCTGTATAAGGATCCCCATACCATAAATTGAAATAAAATGTTGGAAATTATTTTGGCTTCAGTTTTGATCCTTGCAGGGTTTTATGACAAATAAAAAAGATGAAATAAACAAAATATAATCAACACTATTTTTAGTGTAAACAATCAGCAGAACTAGACCAGGATTCGAACCCTGGACCTCAGATATATTAGCATTCTTACTGATTGAGCTACGTACCTGGTCAACAGAAGTGTCCTGGTCCTCATGATTGTTATACTGTCGCTCTAACCGATTGAGCTCCCTGGTCAACAGAAGTGTCCTGATCCAACTTTGCTACAGTTTATCCAAACATAAATTGAAGGGGGGTTACTGTGTATAGGAAAACCACAGTGAAGTGGGACAGGGATCCTGAAGTATTACTCTTATTTTATTGAAACTTTGCACAGATCTTTCCCATCATGTATTAGCTGTAACATGTGTAATCGCCAAATTGTTTCCATTAATATTAAAAGAGTTATTGCCCTTGATAAGCTTAGCCTAACAAAGCCTTGTCTAGCCTCAGCTAAACTTTGGAAAAGTCGCACCTGTCATATGAACCTGTGTATGACTAAATGAAAAGATTTTGCGTTAACTTGGTTGATGTGAGACTCGTGTTTAGTATATAATTATTAACATAGGGTAAATATGTAATTCTGTGTTATGTGTATGCAGATTATTGAATCTTAACAGTTTTATGGCATCCTGCATTATATGCAGGTTTTGTGATTGAAACAGATCTGCTGAAGCTGTTATTGTTTGTTTGTATTTGTAACTTGAAGGCTCCAATATTGTAGGGCCTGGACAGGAAACAGATACACAGTATGTACTGTGTGTATTAGAGAAATCTCTGGAATGTTAACACTGTGATGTTCTTTGGAAAAAAATAATATATAGTTGTAAAAGTATATAGTTGTAAAAAAGATTTCAACCAAAATACATCGGCAAGTCAACAACTCTTACTATGTACTTTTTATATTAGAAAGACTCTTGGCTGCAAAGTTTTTACAATGTTTTGATAGTTTCATTCTACATAGCTAAAACACATTGCACTAACAGTTTAACAATGCAGTGCAGACAAATTGGTTATCGGATGTTAATGAAGTGTTTGAATGAGCCTATGTAGGCTATCTGCGGGGGTGAGGGAAGTGTATGTTGTTGGTGTACTGATGGTGTATCGCTGGTGGACATACAGCTATCTCTGATGTTACTACATGTATGGCATACATATTACCTCATGTATCACACTGGCCATCTTTAACTCATTCACCCCCACATATCTAAACTGGACTTGTCCAGTCATTGATTTGGTAAGGATCAAATGTGACTTGAGGGGTGAATGAGTTAATATGATAGGCTTTGTCTTCAGGATCCCGGTTTCAAGGCCAAAATCTGTAACTAAGTGTTATGCTATGATCATCTTTTCTGAAAAGGAAACCATACCTTGATGGACTTTAATGAGAAATAATAAAGATGAAGTAAATACAATAGAGCAAACAATAGTGTTCTGAGTATAAACAGTATCATTGGGGCTAGACTGGGATTCCAACCCTGAGTATAAAAAAAGTATCATTTGGGCTAGACTCGGATTCCAACCCTGAGTATAAACAGTATCATTGGGGCTAGACTGGGATTCCAACCCAGGACTTCAGGTTGTTATAATATCTCTCTAACTGATTGAGCTACCTGGTCAACAGACTTGTCCTAACCCAACTCTGCTACATTTATATCCAAACGGAAGTTTAGGGGGGGGGGGCTACTGTTCATAAGTAAAACAACAGTGCAGTGGGACATGGATCCTTAAGTATCAGGATTAACCGTTTCTTGTGCTGCGACGTCCTTATCTGGTAAAAGTGTACATACTAGGCCTTTCACGGGTTTATAGTATCAATTGAACACCACCTCAGCTTTTGTGGGTTGTAATATACACACCTTTTCTTGAGGGAGGGAACACATTTGGTTGGACTCTCATGATCAGCATCAGTAAAAAACTTCAATCCCAAAACAGGGCCATACAATATGTGTATTGATATTGCTTATTTCAGGTCATCTCATTTTGAAAGTATTGATTTTCCATGTCAAATTTAGTGTCATATATTTTTATGTAAAGTGAACTCAAATAGACAGCATTTGAGAGATATACATGTACTTACAAAGTCACCTGACTCACCATATTGATCTTTCAAGAGCATTAGAACTATGGTATGGTATGGACACATTGTATGGGTGTAATCATAAATTAACGAAGTCAGGTGAAAGTAAACATAGGTTGCACTCCTTATTTACACAGCCTATAAGTTACATTTCCCGGTAACTTTCGGTTTGCACATTGCTTAGCAACTGCCAAAAGAACTCGGCTAAATAATTCATTTATTTTTATTTTTTTAATAATTTTGCGATTATTTAAAGATTTTGATGTCTTTCACTGACATAGTAGGTCCAGGGTTGATACAGGTATACTTTAACGAATATTAGGCATACACTACACATGAAATGAAACTCGTGGTTTAGCACTGATTGCTATAGAATAAGTTAACCACTAAAATATGTACAATTACATTTCACTTGATTCTATATCTACCAGCTTCCTACCAGGTGATGTGTTGATGTTAACCAATTCACCCCTAACGTCACATTTGAACCTTAACAAATCAAAGATTGGGCAAGTCCAGTTTAAATATGTAGAAGAAATTAGTTAAGGTGATGCAATCATAGTAATCAGTGCATGAAGCTGAACAAAATAATGACAGTAATCTATTCGTCAAGGAATGTTGACTTTTTGTAATATTTCAAAAAGTTGATTTTTTGTGTATTATTATCACTCAAATGTGATTACTACGACCCCATCCCGAATAGATTTTGATTCTGCCATCTTACATGTGAAGATAGAAATTAACTTCCACCCAGAACGAAATACAAATGCTACCAGGTCTGTTTTGAATACATGTAAAAGATGAGCATTGGGATTCCTGTTTAAGAGGTATTCATTAAGAAGAAATGTTCTGAAACATGTACAGCAGACTTGACTTTCAAGCGTGCTGTTGATGGAGATGAGTGACAAGCACTGATGGTGATGGATGCCCGTGTCTGTTTGTGGGGGTTTAACACAGGCCAGACAGTGTTCCAGTACTTAGTCCACATACATCCCAGATTACACTAGGAAATCATAGCAAACTCCACTGTTTAATCCTGCACTGTTTATGTACAACTGTTTACAGTGGGGAAATTGAACAGGTTTTTTGGGCTGTTTGTAGTTGGTAAAAGTTCATGTGATGGGTACGGTATGGCTGCAGGTGTTGTCGGCGCTCCACACTGGATTGCTGATCGTATTAGGTGTCAGGAAGAAACCAATTGATTCATTCTCCATGTAATGCTTCTCTATAAAAGTCTACAGGAAAACTGGTGAATGTATTCATTATTATGTAGTGTGTGCCCAGTGGACCATCAGGTACAAAGTTAAGTAAAAATGCAGACTACAACATGGAAAGGTTGGAATACGTCCAACATGTACAGTTATCTCCCATTATTTAAATGCATTCATCCTTGTTTTATTGGTCATATTCAATGACACAGTAAATGATGTTAGGAAGGTGAGTCTGCCAATGTGTGGGGCTTTCCTGGCTTTCATAGCAATACACCTACTTATAGACTGGTACATCTAGGCTCTCATCTGGATGGAGTGAAAAAATATGGACATTCATTCTGAAATTTAACTGTGCAATATTATGTAAAATACATCTATGTTTATATCAGGTCTCTTTTATATTGTCAAACTGACTTTTCAACTGACTGATATATAGAGTTTTTAAGAAACCACAAGAAAATTTGAAATCCCTTCACCAAATTTTGGTAGCTGCAGGTTTCAAGCCCCGACCATTTTATGGGATGAGGGGGCATTTGTTTCTTACAGAGGATTTCTAGTTTTGTTCTTTTTCAATTAAAAAGAAATTGCTAACCATCTCGGATGTGAATCGTTTAGTTGTTGCAGTGCCTACAATAATAAATCTTTTTCTACCACAATACGCTGTGTTATTCCACTCTCAGATCATTGTATAAACATGAAACCTGTTAGATAAATATGACCTTCAAGAGTTTTGATTGCTCGGAAAGATGAACTTTGACCAGAACGATATGCTTACGCGCATATAGTCTGTGGTTAATTTATATAAATTAATGCAATACTGCTACTCTCAATGTTTAAAGTCGTTCATCTATTATATTTTTTCATGAAGTTGTTGCCGAAACATTGATTTTGACATTGGTCATATCACTATGCCAGCCTTGTCAACAAACACATGTGTGTATGTTATTTCCGACTGATCATGAGATTGTGGTAGAAACAGATCACATGACTCTTGGTTGTTGAGTATGGTATTTATTTCCCTCTCGTTAGTTAATTTTCAAAAGTTACAGAAGGCACTCGCTAAAGCTCCTGTCTTTTGTAACTTTTGAAAATTAACTAACTGGAGTGAAATAAATACCATACTCAACAACCAGTCGTTGTGTAACCTCTATATACCCAACTCTATGGTAACTTTACGTAGGAAGAATTGTGTAAGGACATGGTTCCTCAAAACTTAAACAGGTTTAATGTACAACTGTAGGTGCAATAGTGGTTGTCCTATTTTGTTATTTGACTGCTGATATACAAGTTGAATTACAATCTGTCGGAGTCTTGTCGAACTGTATTCCAGTTTCCAATCCTGGCTCAATCATTCCTTACACCATGTACGTAATGCTTGACAGTTCCCAACTGCTAGACTAGAGCATGCCGATTGTTTTTGATATTGAATAACACTAAACATGATTGCTTTGAAGACAGATGCACACCTCTGTACGTATGGTGCCTGTTAAACTGTGACATTTATATGTGAGATCAGCTCCTCAGAGATCTATCTCGCAGCCACCAGTAGTAGTGTTTCAGGTCTTTACAACACGTACTGCTGGTTATATTCACGTTGATCAGATGTATATAGTGACATTTTTGCCAAAGCAGGGAAATGAAATAATGTAAAAGTTCAAATTATTGGTGTTTTTTTTACGTTGATTGTTTTGTATACTTATGGTTTCCATGGATTATACGAGGGGCCATGGTGGCCTAGTGGTTAAAGCATTTGTTTGCTGTGATCACTAGTCATCCACCAATGGGTCAAGGGTTTGAGGCCTATGTGGGGCCGTCATCAGGTACTGGCCGCAGGTCGGTTGTTTTTCTCTGGGTACTCCGGCTTTCCTCTACCACTGAATTCTGGCACGTCCTTAAATGACTATTGCTGTTAGTTATAAATAGAGAATAATACATGCCTTTTTCCATATCACGCCCAGTATCAACCCGCGACTGCAATATCAGCCCAAGGGCCGGAGGCCCGAGGGCTGATATTGGTCGAGGGTTGATACTGGGTGTGATATGGAAAAAGGCGTGTTTTAATCTGTTTATTACATACTTATTAATAAAAACTACTATCTTATGATTTATTTTTATTTTTAAAATCTTGAAAAACGATTTCGTTCCAAAAGGGGTGTGATATGGGTTTTGCGGGCTGATACGGGTTTTGGGGGTGTGATACGGCGGGGGCTGATACGGGTTTTGGGGTGTGATACGGCGAGGGCTGATATGGGTTAGAGCAATTGTGTCGTATCGCATATACAAAAAACCTGTATTTATTAGTAAGTATGTAATAATAATACACAAAACACAAACAAACCAAACTGTGGGTTATAAAACTCCAATATCAAAGGAAACCAGCAAGAATTGTGGAAATTTTTGAGTGTAGGATTTGAAACATTTCTTTCTTCATTATCACACACAGGGAAACATTTGAATGCTATGAATACAATAAATATGGAAATTTATTCATGGAATTTATTTGTGCTCATAACCTTATCTTTGTGCTTGTGTGTAAATTGTCCCTGTTTGTACTGTAATGTACACTACAATAAAACCTTGTTATATTGTGTCATTATGTGTCAAATCATCTTTTGGTGAAACAAAGGGGTGTGGCAGTAAAATGAGGGAGACTTATAAAAGTATTTTATGAAAAAATATGAAAACAGGACGCTGAATTTTATTGGCAGTAATATAAGCAAGTGGCAGATAAAATAAGCTATTGTATGAAGGTTTTCTACCACAGGGTGCTTAAAACGGTGAAATAAGATATCTATAAAGTGAAAAATTTGTTCCATAGAAGATAATATATGAAAATTGGTCGGTATACAATAGCAATAATGAAAAGTTTTTCGAGCATAACTCTTACGTATAGGTTGTAAATCAACGAAAAGCACATCAGATAAAAAGACCAGTATTTTGTCATATACATGTTTTTCCAAGATTATAGTCCAGTGTATATTATGTGTAATTATGTGCTATTTGAAAGGTGATGGACCTCCATCAACGTGTAAACTACCTCCTAATTATCTCCCTTGTTTTTCAGGCGCTTGGCAATTTATACTTTATCCACGAGTCCATTGACGATGTGATGATCTGGGATTTCGTTGGTAGGTGATTACTGACAGGAGGCTAACTCCACACGGCAATTACCATTCTCCAAGCCAGCAGGCAATTTATAAACTTGTTATTAATCCGAGAATATTCTGTTAATAATAAATTGACCAATCAAAATTTAACACAAACTACCAGTCATAATCTGTTTTGGCTAATGAATGAACAGAGCATTCTTCCTGAGTGTGCAATAAACATGTGTGGATGATAAACAAATATTTGCTCAACTTCTTAACAACTGAAAATAGTCTTCTATATCCTCACCTAAACAATATTATTTGGTGATTTAAACTTCCAGGGATTTATAGTTAAAGTGCAGGAAAGACAATTTAAAAACTTTAATCAGGCAACTGTTTCAAGTTTCAATTCCATTTGGCACCAGCTCATGATCTAAACTACTGGACCAAATTACACCCTTACCCTTATGCAAACATTTGTTGACTGAGTGACCATGGGGATTTTGCGTTGATAGTAAAAGTCATTGCACTTGATTTACTCGGCCTTGTCCAGTCTAGACTACAACCAGTAAGGTATAAAAAAGGATTTCAACAATACTTGCAAACATTTTACCTTGTCAGATGAACCTGTTCATGTGGAACCACCATATTATTTAAAACCCCTCGTTAAAGAGTTATTGCCCTTTGATGTTATTATTTTAGATTTGAAGGCACTGTATCCTTCATAATGAACTAATGTCTTTTAATATCAAATACTCCTGACGGCAATCAAATAGTTACTGTATCGAATACATTTCCAATATTTCTTTTCAATCTTATTGAAATAGGGATCAGGGTAAGGCATTGCAATTGGCAACTATTAAGGTTTGGGGGTCGTGTGTGGGGATTGTGTCTGGTCCTGAATAACAGTCCTATTTTAAGCTGGTATGTTATAAGGGCTATTCCAGATATGAGGAGTGGGACAGGGAGGTTATGTTCTAATTAAATTACAGGTGATGTGATCTTAATTGGTTGTTAGAACAGGAATTGAGGATTGGGAAAAATCGATTGAAGATGATGCATAATGGGATCACAAAAAATAACGCTACGCCAGCTCCATACATTTATAGCCTTAAGGCCAGTTGTACTTTAACAGAGAGGTTAATTATAGGTTAACGAACTGAGTTTGGCACTAGAATGGAAATTAATTGTTTTCTATTTTGATAAAGTTAATATCATGCTCCAAATTATCAACAGAGGCCAAAATCATTAGTGCTGTCCACTATACATCTGTGGATTCCCTTCCGTTCACAGCAATGTCTACATATGTCTGGAAGCTCAACACTGAATTAAACAAATTTATCTTATATTATTAGCTGATAGAAACAAAAAAATATTTGGCATGCAATGATTTTGATTAACTTAAACACATTGGAATCATTACCTTGACAAAGTTACTGTTTTATCAGAATTGGTTTTAACTTCCAACCATTTACAATTTATAATTCTTATTTCCAGATTGCAAATTTGTACCTGTGCTTGGACGAGAGGTAAACAGTTAATTTAATTGATATGTAACCATATTTGTCATAAAATTGCATTATTTAATGCTAGGTGAAGAATAAATGCATCAATGTTTTGTAGACAGCAGTAAGGTAACTAGCATTGTCCTTCTGAGATTTTCTAGCCTTCTTGCAATAATGTAATGATCAAATTTTATTGACTTACACAATATGGAAGACCAAAATGAATCGGTACATGCATTGGAAATGTAAACAAAATTTTGGAAATTGCTTTTTGTATTGATTGAAATTTAATATCATAGTGTAGTAATTGAAAACTTCATTACCTACTGCTCTGTCGTGACTAGTTTTCTTTTAATTGATTTTGATATTACAGGTACTTTCAGGGAATATAGAGAATGTTCAAATCAAGGAGAAAGCCAAGTTTCCCCAGGATTTCTTCCCAGATGTAAGTGTTGAATGTCACACACAGCCCATTCTGCTGGAAGCCTGTAGCAGCATGCCAAGCAGTTTTTGAAAAGACGTTATTGATTAAATTCGCTGAATTTGTCATGAGTATCAGTTCTCTGTATCTGGCTGTCTGAATCGTAACTTGTATGGGGGGAAAACATTATTTTAATCATTGTTGCATGTTCCAGTGCAGTATGGAAATCCAATAGCCGTTCAATAATGCAAGGGAAACGACTCTAAACAAAATGGTACTTTTGAACATTCTGACATTAAAGGATTGATTATCTGTTTGTCCTTCATTAGCTTCTCAATTAACACACACACACATGAGAAGTTAATATCAATTCTGGGGATAGATTGGATCACATTCCTGTGACTGTCTAATCGGTATTCATTCTATGATGTACTGGATTTCTTTGGTTTCAATAATTTGCTCGATTTCGGTACATGATTCCTGTTTAGAATTTTAGATTGTTTCCATAATTCCTAAATAGAAATTCATTACAATTTTAAACATTACATAATGCAGTGTAAATTTGATAGATAATATTGATCTTTTTGTGATCCAAGTACTACAATATTAAAATGTAGTGTTCAGCTTATGTATTTTAATAAGCCAACTTCTTCTAAAAAAGATTACACAATTAACAATCTTGGATGGAGAAGAAAATATGCAGGAATACACAGATTTTGTTTAAAGAAACAGTAATACACTGTCACTGTGAAGATTTAACATGGCAAGGGAGGTAACATCATCTTGTTTTCAGAAAATATATTGTGAACATATTTTGGCAGTCAATTCAAATACTCAGGAAAAATCACAACCATTATGTGAACAAAATTGATGTTTAATTCTTAAAAATATTAAAAAAAAATCAAACAAGCTCAAAAGTGAACATAAAATTTATGATTTATATTTATATTTAGTTTTAAAATCTCATTAAAGACCAACTTTTTAATGAAATGATTTTTTGAGATTTTTTCCTCTAAAAATGCAATTGCCATTTTTGGAGATAGCAAAATGTGAAAGGTACATCTGATGAAAATTCCTCAATTATTTTGTCTGCAATAAAAATCCTATATCTGAGCTGCCTTGTTCATACCATAGATTGCCTTGACTTAATTATCACAAATAAAATATAGTCATCTTGAAAGGATCATTTTATGTTTACTTAGTGGTTGGATTCATTGTCGCAAAGATTACATGTTTATTTATCTTTTCAGTTCAAATGGTCAAGGAAAGGCTTTATCAGAACAAGATGGAATATAAGAAATTGGTAAGGCTTTACAAAGTTAAATTACTGTGTGTATCTTGTAGATAGGTAAGGCAATACAGACAAATTACAGTGTGTATACTATTTTGTAGATTGGTAAGGCAATATAAAAAAAAATCAAGGAAAAGAATGAAAATGATGTGGTAATTGAATAATCTTACAATTAAAACTATTTTGAAAGGATTTTCCAGCTTTTATTTTTTTTTGTAAAAAAGTCAGATTTTGACCATTTTTGGTGCTCATTGTCAAGAGACTCAAGACAGCAACAAGAATGTAGGCAGCTCATCCAAAGAGCAAGAAAGCAAAACATTGTATGTGGTCTCATGCTTAAATCTTACTTTATTGGCATTCTTCTGTAATATGTTTGTTGTTGTTTTTCAGTTTATTTGATCTTGTCAACATCCATCTATTCCATGATGCATCCAATATTATTGCAATGCAAACAGTAAGTATGTTAAAGTACTTGACTTGCACACGTGTGTTCAAAACGAGGACGGCGGGGATCCAACTCTACATTAACAACTCTAAATTATAATGAAAACTTGTAGGTTTGAAGGATCCTCGTACCACTGCCAAAATCAGTTACTACGCACTGGAAACGGACTTTGTCAATATGACTATAACTTTGATAAATGATTTCTGAAAAGAAATCTATACCTTGTAGATCACTTTTACGAAACATAATTGAGATGAAATAAACCAAACAGTTATCAAAACACTGTTCTGGTTGAGAGAAAAAATCAGCGGAATTAGACCTGGATTTGAACCCAAGACTACAGGTTGAAATACATGTACTATCGCTCTAACTGACTGAGCGTCCTGGTCAACGGAAGTGTCCTGACTCAAGTACAGTTAACATTCAAAATGAAATTAAGGGGAGGTTACTGTATATACGAAAACTTCAGTGCAGTGGGACTGGGATCCTTAAGTAAAGAGAAACGATTACTAGATTTTTTTTGTACTGTTTGGTTATGGAATACAAGACAGCTTTATAACAAGGTGGGCTGGGTGCAGATATTTTATGGAAAACAAATATTAATTTTGAAAAGAAAAAATATTCCCTCAATTTGGGGTTCAAATGTCTAATAAATAATGTATTGTGACACTTTCAACAAGAAGACATTTGACATCCGTTCCAGCTGTATATATACCGTATGTTGTATTGAACCTGCCGGGAGTGATGTTTGTGAATTGATGTTTGTGTTACAGAGTCCCTCAGTATACAGTAATAACAGAAAAGCAGCACTGCTACACACACTGCAAAGGTAGGTACCTCGCCTCTACATGTCAGGGACATAACCTCATCTAACCATATCCGTTTCCTTAAATAGCTCTGAATAATCCTGAATAATATTAATAAGATTGAAATTGCCATGTCGGAAAATGCTGTTCAGGTTGTAAGGTTGTTATATTTTTTGAATGAACAAAATAAAACCAATATGGTTTTTGAAAATCTCACACTTTGTATTCTTAAAATTTAATGGTAAGATTGTTAATTTATAAGTTGGAGTTTGTGGGGCCGCGGTTGCCAAGTGGTTAAGGCATCTGACATTCTGCTACCACTAGCCCTCCACCACTGGGTCGCGGGTTCGAGGCCTACGTGGGGCATTTGCCAGGTACTGGCTGTAGCTCTGTGGTTTTTCTCCAGGAACTCCGGCTTTCCTCCACCACTAAAACCTGGCACTTCCTTGAATGACTATAGCTGTTAATAGGGCGTAAAACCGAAACATACCAAACCAATTATAAGTTGGAGATTGCCCATGTTTTGTCGCACATCATATAATGCCTTATATGGCAATGTGTCTTGATTTCTGTGCCTTATTATATAACTTTGTGTATTATAAATATACAAGACTATTATATATGTATGTAATTATATTACAGGTTTGAAAAGGACCAGTACGATAAAGTCCCCATGTTCATATTTGGTGATTTTAACTTCCGTCTAGATGTCCACCAGCTAGTTTCGGTATGTTGCATACAGCTTAGGAAGAAGTGCTCTAATATTGAAAATGAAAATAAAAAAACTGCGAAAATATGTGTTAACCACATAAAGATATTGCCAGTGTTTCTCTGTAATCAAAAAACAATATTTGGAAATGTTGGTGAACAGAAAATTTTACATATACTAGGCATTGAAGGTTTATAATTTTGTATGATTGATGTTTTGGAGTTTTCAGTTGAGATTTATCAATTGTCTTATTTTTGTCATTTATGAAATTCTTCATAAGCTTTCAAAGAACAGCATTAGCTTATGTAAATTAATATGAAAATAAATCCTTCCTAGCATATTGGTGATATATTGACTTAATATTGTTATTTGCTTAAAAACAAAATTTTGTGAACTTTTGTAGAGTTTGACGTCAAAAACCAAAACGCACCAAACCAAAGGAAAAAAGGACCAAATTGCCAAAATAGTATACTCAGAGGAAGGCAATGGAAAGGTAAGGCTTTGGTGTCCATTAGGGCCAAATAGTATACTCAGAGGAATGCAATGGAAAGGTAAGGCTTTAGTGACCATTAGGGCCAAATAGTATACTCAGAGGAATGCAATGGAAAGGTAAGGCTTTAGTGACCATTAGGGCCAAATAGTATACTCAGAGGATGGCAATGGGAAGGTAAGGCTTTAGTGGCCATTAGGGCAAAATATTATACTCAGAGGAAGGCAATGGAAAGGTAAGGATTTGGTGGCCATTAGGGCCAAATAGTATACTAAGAGGAAGGCAATGGAAAGGTAAGGCTTTGGTGTCCATTAGGGCCAAATAGTATACTCAGAGGAAGGGAATGGAAAAGTAAGGCTTTAGTGGCCATTATGGCCAAATAGTATACTCAGAGGAAGGCAAGGGAAAGGTAAGGCTTTAGTGGCCATTAGGGCCTAATAGTATACTCAGAGGAAGGCAATGGAAAAGTAAGGCTTTAGTGGCCATTAGGACCAAATAGTAAACTCAGAGGAAGGCAATGGAAAGGTAAGGATTTGGTGGCCATTAGGGCCAAATAGTATACTCAGAGGAAGGCAATGAAAAAGTAAGGCTTTAGTGGCCATTAGGACCAAATAGTAAACTCAGAGGAAGGCAATGGAAAGGTAAGGATTTGGTGGCCATTAGGGCCAAATAGTATACTCAGAGGAAGGAAATGGAAAGGTAAGGCTTTAGTGGCCATTAGGGCAAAATAGTATACTCAGAGGAAGGCAATGAAAAAGTAAGGCTTTAGTGGCCATTAGGACCAAATAGTAAACTCAGAGGAAGGCAATGGAAAGGTAAGGATTTGGTGGCCATTAGGGCCAAATAGTATACTAAGAGGAAGGCAATGGAAAAGGAAGGCTTTAGTGGCCATTAGGGCCAAACATTATACTCAGAGGAAGGCAATGGAAAGGGAAGGCTTTAGTGGCCATTAGGGCCAAACATTATACTCAGAGGAAGGCAATGGAAAGGGAAGGCTTTAGTGGCCATTAGGGCCAAATCGTATACTCAGAGGATGGCAATGGAAAGTTAAGGCTTTAGTGGCCATTAGGGCCAATTATTATACTCAGAGGAAGGCAATGGAAAGGGAAGGCTTTAGTGGCCATTAGGGCCAAACATTATACTCAGAGGAAGGCAATGGAAAGGTAAGGCTTTGGTGTCCATTAGGGCCAAATAGTATACTCAGAGGATGGCAATGGAAAAGTAAGGCTTTAGGGGCCATTATGGCCAAATAGTATACTCAGAGGAAGGCAACGGAAAAGTAAGGCTTTGGTGGCCATTAGGGCCAAATAGTATACTAAGAGGAAGGCAATGGAAAAGTAAGGCTTTGGTGGCCATTAGGGCCAAATAGTATACTCAGAGGAAGGCAATGGAAAGGTAAGGCTTTAGTGGCAGCAGACAGAACATATGAAGAGTCAGGGGAGTACTTGCATAGCTGTAAATAAAAACAGGAACTATGATTGACAGCTTAGTGTAACGATTAGAAGGGGAAGGGGAAAGGGTAGAAGGCGTGTGGCACTACAAAAGGACTGTGAACATGTGTTTTTGTGACTAAATCACAAATGATCAAGGTAACATGCCAGCCTGTTGTATGGTGATCTCTCCCAGTACTGCACTAACCCCACCACATGTTGTGCTGAGGATTCCTACACAAGGTACACATGCCAAGAACTTTAAGAAAATGATGTGCCAGCGAGTGAGCAAGATTAGTCTTGCTTCCTTAACACTGTGTTCTTGCTCCCTTCCTTTCATAGTTTTGCTTCTTTGCTTTCTTTTTTTGGCTCTCTGTCCATTGCATTGTGATCCTCTCACTCCATCACATTAAAAGGTTGAGGGAGCAAGAATTGATATTTTGGCTATAACCGACCACTATACAAGGCATTCTGCAGCCCAACAGCATTAATATAAACTCACCTTCCCTATTGATCTGGAAGATTTTTACATTTTCAAAATAAGTTTTCATAGCATATATCATTAAGGCATATTATGTGATATAAATTTCAGTACACTACAGGGATGTATACACAGTAAATCTCAAATCCAAGTCCATAAGGTCTAGAGCTTTTAGAACTATTTTTAACTTTTGGGTGCAGGTAGATGCAAAACTGGCCTGGGAATGGGTTGAACCTTTGTCTGACTGGAAAACAGGGTCATACAGATTCCTGATCCACTGCCCCAAACTGTAGTTGAGTGTTGGAAGCATGACTAAAGCTTCCATATGATAAATCATTTCAAGAAATCCATACCTTGCGGGACTTTTAGGAGAAATAATAGACATGAAATAAACAAATTATAAATCAACAACAGTGTTCTGAGTGCAAAAATTCAATGGGGCTAGACTGGGATTCGAACCCTGGACCTCAGATTGTTATACCATTGCTCTAACTGACTGAGCTACCTGGTCAACGAAAGTGGACTGGCCAAACTGTGCTACAGTTATATCCAAACGGAAGTTTGGGGTGTTACTGTATATATGCAAATTCACAGTGCAGTGGGACAGGGATCCTTAAAATAGAATCATATTGAAATACTTAAGAGACACCTAGATAGATTGATGACTGGGCTTGAAGCAAGTTTCTCTTAGCTCCATCAATCAGGAGAACTGCTGAATCAATCAGCCTAGATCTAATTACTAGGTGAGACACTGTAAAAATAGATTTTTATAATGATCTGTTCTAATTGGAATGTTTTTTTACTGTTTTGGACTAAAATGTATTACATATGTATTAGGTGAGGAATTGATTTCAACCATAATTGATTGCAATGGGTCATAGTGTAGTATATGTTAAAAACAAAGGAGAAGTCGGTTATATTGGCTTAAATACTTTCAGCAGATATACAGGACAATCAAGTGTAGTCACATCTCTTGTCTCTAGGGAAATCTTCTGAAATAGTTATATTTGATTTTCATTACAGACTGTGCTGTCAATCGAGACAAAAGGGTTTGATCACCATGACAAACATGCAGAGGTTTTCTCAAAGAAAGCAAAATATGTAAGTATTTCAGAACAGTTCAGTTTATCTAATTCAATGAATCATAGAAATTTTGCAACAATAGTTCTGAGAAAAAAAAGCTCTTATACTGCAAATGAAAGAAAATATTGAAATACAAAACAGTGGAAGTCTGTTGTTGCTGGTGTCTAAATCAACTTGAACTGAATTTGAAATTAATATCTAAAGTGTAGTTGGGTAATTTGTATTCAGTGTCAAATCAGTTAACTCATTCACCCCTGAAATTTCATTATGAACTATTCCAACCTTTTAACTGGAAGAATTCAAGTGTGTGTTCAGGGGTGAATGAGTTAAGACAGTGAATGGTTGGATGCTTCTATTTCAGTTACGGCCCTATGACAAGGAGATCTATTCCTACAAAGACAAGCTGTATGAGTTTGATATATCTTTTGCACCAAGGTAGGTGATCACACTTCATTTAGATATATATACCTCTCTTGTAAGTTTTATGCTCCTGTTTGGTAACTAGTTATTGTCTACATGGAATTTTTCACCCAGTGAAATATTTGGACTTTGTTAGTAAAATTCATGCTTGTCCAGTGTGCTAATATTTGCTGCATTGTTGAATTCAACCCAATTTTGAGTGAGAAAAAAACAAAAACATTAACAATAAAAGACACATTTTCAAAGAGAACGGTTACAATTCAGGTACTGCAAAGGTATGTGATCTATAAGATGCTTTTGTACTCTGCAGCAGAATTCGAAAAGTGTATGTTTATGTACGTGTTTTATTGTTAGAGGCACAGTAGGCTAGTTGTAGGATGCTGGGCTCGTGATCGAAGGGTTGCGGCTTCAAGTCAAGGCACCGCATTGTGTTGTATCTTTGAGCGAGATACTTAACTCCACTTGTTCCAGTCTAATCAGCTGTAAATGAGTATGTGGTTAGGCAGTGCTAGAATTGTTGAATGCTAGCTGTGAGCGCCGAAATGGCAGCACCGGCTGTATGCCCCCCAGGGAGTTGAAACGATATTGCCTGGTTGCAAAGGCCCTATAACCACAGATAATAATTTGTGAACCGCTTTGAGACGACCTCCGAACTAGGTTGCGATAAAGCTGTATATAAGAACCTCAAATTATTATTATTATTATTTATTGTATTTTTTTTTCTGCCTCATAATAGCTACCCATTCTCAGAAGACATCACAGATGGTTTGTCCTACATGAAGACGAGATGTCCATCGTGGTGCGACCGCATCCTCATGTCTAGTAGTGCCAAAAACATAGTCGTAAACGTGAGTGTGGCAGTGTGGTTAAAGTGGTGGTAGACAGGTTTGGTAAAGGTGATCTGATGTCAGCGTTTTGTTACAGTATACAGATACTGAAACATCCATACATGGTCACATACTTCATCAGCTTAAATGGAAACATGTATGAAGATTAATGTGAAACATTGCTCACGAGGTCTTGTTATTTTTACTCCCCTTTGAAATGAAGGGACATTCTATTTTAGTATTGTTTTGATTCTTTCGATTCTTATGAAATTCTGTCTGAATATTGATTCTTAAACCATTTTCTTAATGAAATTCAACATGTACGTTCATTACCCACAGAAGGGGCATAGTGTGTCTTTATTAGGCCTCTGCAACCCTTACCTGATGATTGAAAGTAGAAGGTCCTTAATATCGAATAAAAAAGATTGTTGAAGCGATAATATTCCAACCCTCAGTAAGTGTACAGTTTATTGTAGTTTTGTCACTGTGACCTATCTGCCCTTACAAATATTTTCCTTCACTTTCAAAATGTAAACTCTTCATTCTCGTTGTGTAGTTTCAAAGTTGTGACTTTCTGACATAGTACTGATGATACCATTATGAGAGTTCTGACAAGGGACATAAACATGTTAGATTTGTTGGGCTCCAGAGATGCTGAACAAAAATAAATAACGGCTGTATTGAATCGTTTTGTTACAGGAAGACAAGTACCAGCCCCGATATGACATCATTGGAAAGGAAATCTGTATGGGGGATCACAAGGTAAGGTCAAGGTCAAAGGTCAAGGTCACTTAGTAGTGTTTGAAGTTTGTATAATATTACACTTAAGTATATATTTTAAGTTAAGTTTTAGGTTAATTTACCTTTAAAACTATTTTATGTTTGATTGTTCACATGATCAAACTTTGTATCTGTTATGCTAAATGTAAAGAAAGTATAATTTTATTGATGATGAATGTCCTCTTATAACAAAAAACTTTCATCTGGCCTGGTTATGAACACTTCTGACATGGTTATCACTAGAATATTTCTTAATTATTTATAAACTCTTAACAGTATTCTTTTCAAGTTTTCAAACTTTTCGTTGCTTAAGAAACTGCATGGCATAATTTAAGATGTTTAAAAAGTAATTACAAACTATGACTTCTATATCAAAGTTTTCTTATCTCATTGACAAAGAACAATTACTTCTGTTTGACGTTTGAAATTCCATAGTTTGATTTATTCTATGCAAAATTATTATGATTTAAGACAAGATGTAGAGAATTTGGTTATTTAAAAGGACAAAAAGTATTAGACATGCAGTAACATTATGTAATGTTGTATCATCAAAGAGACTTTAAAAAATATACAAAATGGTTAATATTGAAAAAAAGTTTTTGTTTAAAATCCATAACTTTTTTACTTTTTCCCCGATGAAAAGAAACAGGCTGCTGTTAAAATGACCAGTAAAACTGTTCCTATAGATTGGGTTGTTTGTGAATAATGTAAGTTTTGTTTGTCTGTCCACAGCCAGTTTACCTGTATCTACACATCAAGAGAAGCCAAGGTAATGGCCTGCCAGTGTCTGACGTTACACCAACCCACAGACAACTCATAAAGTCCCTCTCCATCAACGGAGAGGTGGTCCAAGTTGACCATTTAGAGGACATTAACATTCATGACTTTGCTACATTTGAAAAAGAGCAGCATCTTTTACCAGAATTCAAAAATAGTATCCGTCAAAAGCGTTACTCTGCCCCTGAACAAAGGTCAAAGGATAAGTTAAAGTTATTCCAGCAGATGGGCAGGAAACCCTCATTCCAGGAAATAGCTAAAACCGTCCAGGCTGTTGAAAAAGTATTGATCCGTTGGCCTCGTAGGTCAAGAAATCGTCATCATAGTTCATCCTCAGAGGATGATTTAGATGAGAATGTTTCATGCAGCGACAAGAAAAAGGGAAAAGTGGATGCGGGCGATATCACTATAGAGTTAGGAGAGTCGTCTTCAGCGGGTATCGGGGATATCGGCACAGACAAATCGTCCATCCATACCACAACATCAGATATAACCAATACTGATGATTCAAACCCTGTCACACCAGCAAAACAACCATACACTGACGCTGGAAGTCCTGCAGACCCGTCAAATACCGTACCGGGGGACGGGTCTGCACTGACCTCTGATAAATCACTGCATGATCAAACTGTGTTGTCCTCTGTTGTGAAAACGCATGCGCATGAGGCTGATGAGTGTGGCCTAGTTATTGATGGCCACGCCCCTCATCCCACTGCCCTGGGATCGGCAACGCTCCTGTTGAACAAGAAGGGGTCTCCCAGGAACCAACCTCCCCACTCCTCCTCCTCGACTGACCAAAGGTGCTCTTGCTGCGTCATCTTGTGATTGTGGAGTATTCAGTAGCTTTGTGTTCAGTGTTGTGAGTTTTAGACTTACCCATCCAATCCATGCCCCAGTTTCATGATCGGCGTCCAATTTGTTGGCATCCATTACTTTAAAAACTCCTTTTTTGTTGTTGACATTTATGAAATCAGAAATATCAAACTGCAGTCTGAAACACAATCTGAAAAGTTGTATGGTATATCTTGCAGAAGGCGTCATTAAGATATGAAATATTGAAAAGAAATTTGATGAAAAAGCTTAACCAGATTTAAAGTATCAATAACAATATACTGATAACCAGAAAATGCACTGCTAGGGATCATTTGTTTTCTGTATATCTGGTCAAAAAGTCCATCTGAGTTACGGAGCTCCTCAGATATGAAGCCGATCGTGAAACGGGCCATTACCTTTAAACACAACTCAATATTTACTTGGTCAATGTATGGGATGGAACTGCATGGCTGGAAGGAAGCAAAAATAAATAGCATGGTTAACCAGAATCATAATTGCTCCCTGAATTTTTAACATGGGGTAATATAACAAATTTGAAATAATATAAATTCTGCCCATACTTTGATTTGAACCTTTTATTGTATGACTTCCTGAAGATTTGATAAGACAATCATTAATACGTAGGGGAAAGACTGTTTCCTTTGTTTGTTCTTGCACAAAAAGAATTATTTGTTGGAGTAGAAAAGCTAGGAAATCAATACATTGTTGAGTTGTGTTTAAAGTAATTCACACCATTGAAAGTAGAAATCGCTCTTGAAAAACAAAACTTGTGTACAGTGAAACCTGAGGTACTGACTTCTGATCTGAAGGAAATCCTATAACATCTAGGATGGTTTCATGGTTCTATCAGCTTCGTTCTTTGACCCCAGACTTTACCAACACACTTTTTATCCAACCAAATCAAAATAATTCCTTCCCTCTTGATGTCAGTCAAGACATTTACTGACACACTGTCTTATCTGACCAAATGATCCATTCCAATTGATGTCAGTAAAGACAGGTTTACTGACACTGTCTAATCGGACCAAATGATTCAGCCCTTCTTTATGTCAGTAAGACCAGTCTACTGATACACTGTCCTATCTGACCAAATTATCCAGTCCTTGATGTCAGTAAAGACAGGTTTCATAGTACTTTGTGACATGTTTTCGGCAAAATGAACATTTCTGCTTTGAATGTTATCATTTTCATGGTTGTGGTGTTGTCTGATTTTTAATATGCTCATGTTTTTAATTTGTATTGGTGTTATGTTTTTTGTAACTTTCACTTCAGAAATCATGAAGGTTTTGGTAATGAGTATATCTGTAATTATCAGTGGCCATTTTGTGATGTCATATTTCAGACACCTTAAATTGGTAATGTTTCCAAAGCCCTTCCCTGTGAATGTGATCCCAGAAATGGCAAAAGAATTTGAATGATTCAGAAATATTGGGATTGTCAGACACAGTTACCATACCTTCTGTTTCTGGGTGAACTTTAACCTTAATTAAAATGTTGGCTTTAGTTATAACATTTTTATTACTAGATGTTCATTAACATCCCTGTTAAATGTGAAGTGGAATGATTTGGGTGTCGATAAATCCATTTCATTCCACTATGTTCAGATTTCAGTTCTTCCTCTGCGAGATAACTCGGTGAGTGATAAGAGAATGTTTACTGTGAGCAGAAACTTGATTCATGAAAATATGTTCAATCTGACTTGTTTTCTAATTTGTAGCATGTAAATTCAGAGACGGGACAGGACATGTTATATCATCAGCTGGTAGCTCATCAGCATTCAGAGCTGTCAGAAATAACATGTTCTCTCCCGGCTCAGTTCTGCAACAGAAAAACTTGCCTGTCAAAACTGTTTTAGTTTAAAATTTTATCTTTATTTTGTTATTTTGTTTTGTTGATTTTAATAGCTTGTACTAGTTGTAGTTTACTTGTTATTGTAGCTTTGAATTTTCAGTTTTCATCATTTGCATGAGTGGTATGTTATGTTACATACTGTGAGCAGTATCGTAACGAAAGCCATGGTCTTCCTGTGTACTACAATATGATTGACTACATTTATAGGTCTCCAGTCTGCCAGCTGGTCAGAACTTATGCTAATACTGTAGATAGTATCTTAGATGGCACAAGTCTTCCACAAAGAGGTAGTGGTTTGGGTTTCTGCTGTGAAACGCTGCTGTCTGTCCTGTATTGGATGTTGAGGGGCTTCCTGATAAACATAAAATAGATATAAACAATAGAAATATCCAAACTTTATAAACCACGTCTCCTCATATGCAGCTGTTTTAGACATAATAAGAATTGTTGAAAATAAACAGTTTTAGAGACTATTCTCTTTAAAATTAATCATCGGTTCTTGTAAACATTTTAAAGCTTCACCATATACCAAAGGGAGATAACTATAATCTGTAAGAACAACATTTTATGGAAATTGCTTTTTAATTTTTAAAGACTGAATAGCAGAAAATATTTTGAAGAATTAGCTTTCAAAATATTCCATTTACTGTAAAATTTCTCTCCATTTAGAAATACTGGTACATGTAGAGAATGAATGCTGTTTATAATGTCTGTACTCTAAATTTAGAATTACTGTACCATAATGACTGTAATGTATCAACTATTTAAGTTGAGGTGGAATGCTTCTCTTGACAGGAGTAGCCTATGAAATCTTAATTAAATCATATCGATGCCTACAAGAGACATTTGTGACTAGATACTTATAATGCTGGATATCGTCGGTTGTTTGTCTGTTTGACTGTAGATATTTCAGGTGAAGACTTCAGGTGAAATCCTACGGAAAGGCAGAAATAAGTAAAACACATTGGCTTTAGTTTTGTATAATCATAGAATCATATATCCTGTCACATAGCAATGTACTCTGAATATCTGTTCTCTGTGCTCTTGTTTGTGATTGCTTCATGTTAATATTATAGAGTTTAACCCGAGTAAGCAAAGAATATAGGAATATGTTCTGTTAAGGGCTTTATTCATTAAAACATTGATAGAATATGGCTATAACTGACAAGATTTAATCTTAAAACAAAACAACAATGTCAATATTCTAAAATGTCTGAATAGCAACAAAGAAATCTAACAGGCATACACAGTCTATGATAATCTAATGGGATACAATGTACTTTACGAAAAACAGAGAAAAAAATTACTAGAAAATGTTCAGATTTCTTTAATATATAATTTGTAAGGGGGCGGTGGACACCTTATACATGTACATAAATGTAAATCTGCTCATTCTTCTAACAAAATATTAGCCTGGATTTGAATTTGTGAAAAGAAAGCGACTGCTATGTTCTTCATTGATATATGTCGGGAGTACAAATTCAATCTCATTTCTTTATGAGCCAATACAAATCAAATATCTAGTGAAATAAATGGATTAACAATACACAGCTTGTCACCATATATCAGCCTGGTGGTGGTGGATTAAGCTCATTAATGCACTTTGAAGTGGAACCTTATCATATTAACTGTTAATATTGTTATTATTCTTTTTGGTAATTCATATTCTTACAATTATTTTTTGAAAGCACAGTGGGGAAGATAGTTATTAGCTCACCTCGCCCAAAGGACCAAGTGAGCTTATGCCGTAGTGCAGCGTCCGGCGTCAATATTTTACTTTAAACAACTTCTTCTCAATAACCAAAAGGCCTAGGTTGATGATATTTGGCCAGTAGCATTCTGGGATGAAGGGCTACAAATGAATGACCTTTACAAACTTTCAATGTATCATGCTGGGATGAAGGGCTACCATGTTTGTTCAAATGAATGACCTTGACCCACTTTCAAGGTCACAGGGGTCAAATGTTGTAAAATCTTCAAACTACTTCTGCTCAATAACCAAAAGGCCCAGGGTACTGAAATTGGGCCGGAAGCATTCTGGGATGAATGACTACCAAGTTTGTTCAAATGAATGACCTTGACCCACTTTCAACCTAATGTCCTTGTTCAACATTCAATGTCAGAGGCGTCATATGTTTAGATCTTTTAATAGGTTCTTACGAATCAAACACTGATATTCTGCCTGTTGCTGTATTTTAGTCCACTTTTAAGATTGCAAGTGTGAAATTAATACCAGGTGAGCGTTGCAGGCCCATTGACTTAAAGTATTCTGCACAGTTCTCCAAACAGAGTTTATTCTTTAGAGCTGCCATTGCGCTAAGACTTAGTTTTCATTAAGGAGGAGAGAATGTCTGGATAACAATATTTTAAATGTCTTAATTAATTATGGAGGCTTTTTTTTTACTTTGAGAAATCAAGGCCATGATTTTTTTTAATTAAGTTTTTGGAAGGACTTTGTTTAATATTTATTCAGATGAGTTTTTTTTTTGTAGATTTGTATATGTTCAATCATGAAAAAACGAGATTCCAAACCTGTAACAAAATATGGCACTGGTCCACAGAGTGAATGTGAATGTTTGGTCTTTATATTGGAATACATGAATATAGGCACTTCTGATTGGATACTGTAGTATACGTTGCATTGCGGTCACTGGGGTTGTAGGTCACTAGTAGCTGGGGTTAGAGGACACTACGTGGTCACTGGGATTAGCGTTCAAGATATAGTTACTGGGGCTAAATATAAAGGGTCTTTACTTTACTTATCATTACTGGAACATCTATGCATGTATGCCTAGTTGTGTTTTTGTAGAAAATCATTTTCCTTGATTCTTACATTGGTTGTTGTCTGCGTTATAACCTCTGTGTTGGAATGGTGTTGGTGTTGTGGATATTGTAATGTGATATAAATGTTGTTATTATGATGTGCATGTAATACCTCCTGGAATGATCTGAACAAAAGCTTGTTAGCTGAAGTCAAGTCTTTGTGAATTCATTGAAATTAAAAAAAGCCTTTGCTTAGCTTCCAAAATAATGAAAAAGGAAACAAGCATTTTGCTGAAGAAACTTTTGAATACTTTAAAATCCAAAAAGGAACCAATTTCATCTTTTATCTGTGCATTTCATTGGTTTACTAAGTACGAATATATATCTCAAATTATGCTTTTTCAAACCATTACTAATGACCATTTTGATAATTCAGCACAAGAAAATAATACAAACACCTGGTGTAGCTTCATCCACACTTGTAATTATAAATCCTATAGACTGTTGAAACTTATTTGTCAGATAAGAACCTCTGAAATGTGACCAGGAGGTATTAACTGCATGTTTTGGGTGTGGTATTCCGTCTCTGCGTATTGCAGAGTTATCTTCTCTTGTGAGCAGGTATTGATTGTGACGCCATATGTTTGTGAGAGTAACGTCATCAATGTTTGAGAAAACGACGTAATTTTCTCACACAAACCAATGACGTAACAATTTTAAAATACCTGCTCACAAGAGAAGATAACTCTGCAATACGCAAAGACGGAATAGGTAGACACTAACACACACTTTTGAAAAACAAATATAAGGGAGATAACCAAAACTGAAAACTAGATCAACAATATGTATTAAAAGTGAAATTGTTCACATTCACAAAAACTAAAGATAGGTATGAGATGGCTTGTTTTAACCATGCCCATAGAATAAAAATTATAGGTAGAGTTATCTACCCTGACGATAAAAAAAATACAGCAACACACCTCTTCGACCAAAACACTTCAATCTCTAAAGATGTAACATTCTGCTGTCTAATTTCATGATTTTTTAAGCTGTTTAAAAAATATTTATCTATATTATGCTGTTTACCTGAAAAAACGGTGGTGATGGAACGAATGGAAATGTGTTGATTTGGCTTTAATATGGTGAAATGTTTGACTTGCTGAGGTAAGTGATGTGATATAATTGTACATAAATGTTTTAAAATGAGTTTTTTTTTTGCCAATATTAAACTAAAAACCTGAAAACCTATTCCTTGAATTCAGGGGCAATTGCCCGAGATATAATGTGAGCTCTCTAAAACGGCATATAGTTACAAAAAGGAGATAAAGAATGATTAAAAATAAAAATAAAAAGATCTAAAGAAAGAAAAAAGAGGAAAAAACAGCTTATAAAGTGTTGAAATTGCTACTATTTTAAGAGACTTAAGTGTTCAGTCTACACAACTTTAGAACATGAACAGGAAAGGTATAATACCCCTACCCTAGCCTGTCAGTCAACACAACAATAACATGATATATAAACCATGTCAGAGATGGTAACACTAAGTATATACATTATAGCCCCGTTATACTAGCTCCAGGCGTTTTGTGTCCAGCTACAATATTATAAAGGGGATTAGGTGGCATACGGAGGAGGCAGTCGTTTAGTAAATGGGAAAGGTATCCATGAAATTTGTTGTCGGTAAGCAAGGTGGCACATCAAATATTTCTGTTTTACTGTAGTAGCAGGGTTGGGTATCGTCCATGTAGTACAATTGAAATGGTGACAGGAGTGGGTATTATATAGTACAATGTGTGAGAGAGTACCTTATAATGCCAGTAGATGTGGGACCATGTTGTGCCTGTAACGGCGGTACCATATGATGCCAAACCATTTAATGCTGGCAGGATTGATAACCATTTGATGCTGGCAGGACTTGTACAATAGTATAACGGCAGTTGTGGTACCATTAAGTGCCAGTCAATTGGTACAATAACCGTGTATGAATTTCTTTGAAAATCTTAACATGATTCCAAAGTATGATGTCCACGAACTGGAGTTTTCTCCCTTTAGCTTGCTCAGATAGCCACATGACTTCTATTATATAGATACAGAAGTACATTCATGTTGAACCAACATTCTGCCATATAATGGTTGGCCTGGGAGATGAAAAACAGGGCAATCATGGTAGAAGGTGATGCTTAATTTAATGGATTTTATGATCTAGTGCTATTGCTTAGGGACTATCCCAAAAGCACTAAAATATATCTTTTTATCAGTAAGTAGATTATTTGAGAGTTTGTGTACTGAAATCTACACAACTTTACTTCCTTGTTTAAAATTCATAAGGATATTTTTTCTGCTTATTTTGTGAATATATTACAAACCACAAATTGATGTATGGTACCTTGTGGTCTTTATTTAATCGCTACATGGCTTAAATTATATTTATATTCTGGGGAAACTGGTAACAACAGAGAAGCTTAACTTCATCAAAGTAAGTATAAGGGTAAGTTGATGACTTGGACCTAATTATCAGATTGTACCTTAATCTTTAGTGCTTTAACACTTTGATTTCAGACAATATAATTTGTGATTGTGATAGTCTTTGGTTCTGTTTTGATTGATACCGTTTTCTTTGCAGCTCCCACAGTGTCGGCACCTGAGCTGTTACAGCTGCCCACAGCCACCGAGGTGATAGTACCCAGCACACAGGTGAAGATTTCCCACGTGGACACTACTAAGTATATCCACATCCGGCGGCAAAATGGCAACTCAACCCGCGTCTTCCGAGAAACGTCAGTCTGACACCAGTTGTCTCCCCTGGACCTTGTAATATGTAGACACTGGTAGACAGGACGTTCTGCTACATATCCAACAGAAATTTTGGCATTCATATTGTTTTTTCCCCTTTTTTATTTAATACAATGTTACATTTTTGTTAAATGCATGAAATGGTCTATTTAATACATAGAGAATTATGAAATATTTACTGTGCAAACAACAGTTGAAGAGTATGCTAATTAGCAATTTTTAAATTTTGAAGTGTGAATTTTTACAGGTAATACATTTTTAAAGTATTTCTGAATATTGGCTATGGAGTTATTTAGCAGAACATCCTCCAATTCCTTCTTTTTTGCTCACTGTGAATGGTGATATACGACCAACTCTGCATGCTTACTACTGTGCGGCATACACACTTTTAGTGTAATTATACCACCTCAAGTAGAAATCTCACTATTAGCCAGTATAACACAAAGATAAATGAGCAGAAATCAGCTACATTCAAAATGAACCCCCCACTGTTATGATTAAAATATGATGATATTTTTGCAGCTGATTTCATTAAGAACTTCTGCATACTCTATACTGTAGCTCCCTGGTGAAGTGAAGACACCACATTTGAATTTTGAATTGTTAACACACTTTGGATTAAACTGAATCATACATTTCTAGTGAATAGTAATTAAAGAATTCTTTTATTTTTAGTTTCCATTTGATCAAATGTCTTTGATATGTGTAGGAATAACCCTTCTGATAAATGGAAGTTGGTTAGAAAATGTGTATTGACATACCTAATTTATGTAAATTAATATAATTTGAAAAAGTGTTCACCTAGTGCTGAAAAACTCCAGAAGTACTTACTAACTGTGATTTATAGATAAAGCCCACACACACAACCCAAGGACTAGTGGGACCTCTGTGTGCTGCATACCGAATGCACTACACCGACAATAATTTTCGATACAAAAATACTTCACTCGTTTTACTTTGGTTTATATTAGATTGATTGTTGAGATAATAAAGTTTTCTTTAAATTGTTGAAACAAATAATAGCCCGAGTAAACAAACACCTGTCCGGTAGTGGATCTCACACCTAGTGTTAGCTTTACTGTTTTGGAACTTACAGCAGGCGATGCTGCGAAGGCAGTTTTAGGACAATGGTCAGAGATCTATAAAACTTTGTGTCTCTATGACAGTTAACCAGATATCTCATTTGTCTGCACAGAATATGCAGAGCAGGCATTTTGCATTCCCATCTTCAAATCTCTACCTAATGCATGTTGGGCACCAAGTAACGAGCAGAGGAGACACCATTTCCCGTGAAAGATTGGAGATGGTGTCCTTTCTATCACCGGGTTACTGTCTAATAAGGTCCTCCACTTGGAGGAGATATTAGACCGATACTGGTTATTATATTTCACCTATATTTCAATGTGCAGAAAAATGTTTTTCGTGCTATATCATAGTGGTATTATAAGGGTCTTTACCTAGAGGTACAGGTGGGAACGTTTTCTTTGAATGTTATTCTATCAAACTAAAACAAGCCATGAAAATGTGTGCACTATTCTGTTTCTATCCCACACGTTCTGTGACATCTGAGCCGGTATCAGTTTGGGCATACTGTTAAAGAAGAAACATCTTTCATTGTTTAGTTGTTTATCATAGGAGAAACAACCCTTACGATTATGAAATCCAATTTGTTGTGCTTTATTTAACAAATGGTTTTGTTCTGTTGTGAAATGCACATTGCTGGAAAATTTGGTTCATATTGAAATTTTTAGAAGCCAAATTTCACCTTTCTGCATATTAGTCATTTTGAAAAACAAAAAAGTTAACTTATATGAGTTAATCATTAAGAATAATTACTAAAAAGGTCAAATAATGAATTAAAATGAAATCATGAATATTTGAGGATTAGAAATGTAATTTCTTGCACCTCATCAAATTTACAGGGTTTTTTGTTAGGTTTGCCAGAATATGTGTGTGTTGCTGTGACGGAAGGAGAAAAACCACATTTAATTAGTTACTGTGAATATGTTTCCAAAGTTTGTTGGGTGTGATTATGCTGAACACAAGAGGATTAAGCAATAGAATGTAGTAACCTTTAATATATCTATCTATAAATACTCTCTTTTACTTCTCTTGGACTTAGTTTTTGGGTGATTACTCAATTGGAATAGAATTTCACAATTCAACTTGTCATTGTATTCCCCTTGTTGAGTCTTCTAAGGAAACAAACATGCATATACAATTACATGCTAAGACTTCTAGCCTGTGTTAAGATTTTGAAAATACTGGACTAGCCTGACTTACATTTTTGTAGAAAATATTGCAAATTTTCACCAGTCCTGTCATAAACTCTACTAGCCACAGGCATTGGGCTGGTGAATTTGTACACCTGTGAACTCGGTTAAATATATTGCATTTGGGACTAGTCTTCTGTCTATGAATAATGCAAATATCTGCAAAGCATACACAATGTATTTACAAAGTTATATTTTGATGAATTTTGCTTAATAGTTGCAGACGGAAGAAAACAAAATGAAATGGATATATATTGGAGTATCTGGAACATTTGTTGATACATTTTGTAGTAAGATAATATATGGACCAGATGGCTTGTGAAATTCTATAGAATATTAGTATTCATTTAGTAATTGTCAAAGAGGATGTCCAAGAGAAACATTGAATATACAGTAGGTAGTTTTAGTGAGTGTGTATATTAAATTGTGTATGTTAACATTAGTGTATAACAGTAGCTGTTCTAGGAATTGTAACTACTGGAGTTTCTGCTCAAACAAGAGTTGTCTCCCATGACATATTTCCATTCATTCGTTTCTGAGGGGTAACAGGGTTAATGGTATCTATTACCAGGGACAGTATATTATACGTCCCTGCTATTACCTAGCTAAACAGGAAAAAGAATTGGGTGTCATTTTCTAGAGTAAAAAAATCATATTGGTTTTGATTGACTGTATTTTTTGTGTGAAAATATTTTTCATGAGAAAGTAAATTCATCATTTATCATTGTTACTTGTTTGAATCTTGCTGGGGGGCAGTTTGTTATGCTACTTGTTATTGGTGGTATTTTAAAGTGAGAAGTAATTTTCTTTCTTCTGCTTGTATTTTGTATTTTGAAATAATTCTGAACGGACATATGTGAAATATGTGTATATTCAAATATTACAATATAAGCTGTGTCTGATTTTCTTTAAAAGAAAGAAGTGTTTACTGTTGAAAAGATGGAGAATTGTTTCTAAAAATAAAGATAAACCTTATTGATTTTACAACAATTATGAAACAAGATAAATCAACATGTATTTAACACTCTTGTTGGCCTGGATGTTAACGCATGGGAGGAAACCGGAGTTCCTAGTGAAAACCCACGTGGTCAAACAGATACCTGTTCAGGTCAGATAACGAAATCGAACCCTGGTCACCTTGGTGAAAGGCCGGTGTGTTACCCACTGCACCACCCGACCACTGTTCCTATTTTAACTCTATGCTAAATTCTCTATCAAGCTATGTATGATACCATAGTACGTAATGCTATTGTATTGTTGCTGTCTATTGTAAAATGGTGTTATTTTAAGGACTGAGTAATTGGTAGGTCTGTAAACCTATATCTATATAAGAGGAATATATATCTATTTCAGAAACCTATACATATCTCAAAAGTAGTGCTCCATCATGTTTCTTTTATTTCTAAAACAAAATGTGCTTGCCCACAGTGCCTCTAACTAGTTGATACAAGCCAAACAGCCTGTTAATGGAACATTGTAAAGAGTTCTCCTCGGTTTAAGCAATGCTTACCCTATTTGGGAATTTTAAAATGAGGAAAAAAATAGTGCTTCATATCAACATGTGGCTGAGCCCTGTATAAAAAACAACAACAACAACAACTGAAAACCATCAAATCAACTGCAAATATACACAGAATTAAAAATAAATTGCAGAATGCTAACAACTATAATTTAGAAATGTCGAATTGCTGATACTGCTGTACATGAGGGTGGCTTACCTCTATTCTATACTTGTAAACCAGTCTGAAAACCATCATATTCTCTTATCATTATGATCAGGATATCGGTAATTTGCACCTAATTCAATACTCACAATGTACTCTGATACCGATCAAGATTTTACATTAATTTAAAAAGATATGAGACTTCACATCACAGAGTTAATATAGTTATTACTACTACTACATGTTTTTCTCCTGATTTCAAACTTTGACCTTCACTTATTCAACCCTGAAATTTCATAATGAACTATTCCAACCATTGAATTGGAAGAGTTCAAATGTGTCTTCAGGGGTGAATGAGTTAATAATGACAATTTCGGCTAGCTGTAGCTGAGTTGTCTCTATGAAGACATTCCGTAGTGAGGTACTTCTTTACTGCCAGTGTGAAGATAAGAATCACTAAAAATGGATAAAAGAGGATGAAAGGAATTCAGCAACATCTGAACATTTCTCCATTTTCTGTTAATGCTTGTACTACTAGATAAAGTGTTGCTGCAGGTCAATATGTGATGGTCTCCTTTACATATATCTCTTTTCAATATATACTCAAGCACAATAGTTATCAGGTACCAAGCTTTTTTTTTCTGTTTATTTTTACTACCTCAGTAATTAGTAGTCAATAAAAAATATTTTATAATCTGCTAGATCACTTATCATTTTAGTGTTTTGTGTTATTGATATATGGTTTTTTTTCTTTGTTGATAATTGAATTACTATCAAAGCTTTTTCATCACCTCTTGTTTGTGTTATTACTGTAAGACGTGAAATTGTCATCCTGGTATATTTGTGTCACCGTCACACTTGGACATGAACTTGAGTTCAACTCGAGGTGAAAAATACATGTTCACTGTATAGTTCAAAGATATTGGTACTGGCATGTTTAGATGGGTGAAATCAACACTAAATGATTGCTTTTTAAATTGCGGACGAAAATATTACGATTTATGGTATCAAGATCTAGACTCCGGAGTAGGAAGGATGCCTCTCAAAATGGAATGCAAGATAAATCTGTTTTACTCTAATTGTCATAGTTTTCACTCTTTAAGGTTTTTATTTCATAATGTGAAAATGCCGACGTTATTTTCTTCTTATTTACTTGGTATTGCATCGATTCCTGGAAAAGAAAATGTTCGTAAGACATAGTGTATGCTTTAACAATAAACGAGTTAGGACTTGGTTCAGAAATATAATGTAATTTTCCGTCCACCCAGACTGGCTTTAAGATGCCATTTGCAAACCATTTTGCTATTCTTTTGATGAAATATATAGTTAGATGTTGAATCCCAATTCTACATGTAGGCTCCATTTTCATATTCAAAAGGCCAATGCTAGCAGATGTTGCAGATATAAGTGACACTTGTCATATACAGGGTGTTCCATAAATGCACTGTCAAATGCTATACAATTTATTAAAATTTACTGACCTTTTAAAGTTGTATTTCTCTTTTTGGTTTGACTCATTTACCCCCAAAATTTCATAATGAACTATTCCAACCTTTGGATTGGAAGAGTTCAAATGTGTCTTCACGGGTGAATGAGTTAATCACAAATTATTTACTGTTACTGTAAGGACATAGATCAGATGTGGTGGGCCAGTGATGTATAAGGGATACAATGCATATCTCTACTGAAGGTTGTTATGTTTATTTTGTTTCTTTCAGCATAATATATGTAGATATATATAGACAATTATCCTTATAAAATTATAGATTTATTGACTTATCTACTAGTTAGAAAATCTTATTTGACAGTTAAATGATGTTGGGGAAATAAATCAAGTTTATAAATGTTTCTTGAATTATATGTAGATTTTATATACCTCTGCAGAGAATATATATACTATGTTAATATATATCTTTTTTTTTCATGAGATAAAACACTATTGTTACAATGTCTTTTATTTGTTTGTGTGTAATATCGGTAGGATTTGCTTGTTTGTAATAATTAATGCTGTACATATTGGAATTGAATTCTTAAATGAATTTCATTGTTCACTTACTTAGCAATGTATGTGTTGATTGTATATGTACAACACTGTAGGTACAACTAATGTTGTATTATTGTTGTACAGAAGAGCAATGCCATACATTTTTACAACAATGTTATGTGCGTAACATTGTTGTAATAATGTCATTCTTGTATGTGTGAGTAATAATGTTGTTAACATAATGTAGATGAACAACATTTTATGTGTTAATAACCTGTTTGTATGTTTTATGTGTAAATAACATTGTACATATTTATGACAATGTTTTATGTGTATATAACATTGTTATACATATTTATGACATTTTTTTATGTGTATATATCATTGTTTTACATATTTATAACATCTTTTTATGTGTATATAACATTCTCAATATGTACAACAATGTAATATACACATACAACATTGTCATCAATATGTACAACAATGTTATATACACATAAAACATTGTCATAAATAAGTACAATGTTATTTACACATACAACCTTGTCATAAATATGTACAATTTTATTTACACATACAACCTTGTCATAAATATGTACACTAATGTTATATACGCATACAACAATGTCAGAAATATGTACAACAATGTAATATACACATACAACATTTTCATAAATATGTTCAATGTTATTTACACATCAAACATACAAACAGGTTATTAACACATAACCTGTTTGTATGTTTGATGTGTAAATAACATTGTACATATTTATGACTATGTTGTATGTGTAAATAAAATTGTACATATTTATGACAATGTTGTATGTCTTATAACATTGTTGTTTATATTTATGACAGCGTTGTATGTGTATATAACGATATTGTACATATTTATGAAAATGTTGTATGTGTATATTACATTGTTGTACATATTGAGAATGTTATATACACATACCAGTATGTCATAAATGTGTACAACAATGTTATATATACATAAAACATTGTCATAAATATCTACAATGTTATTTACACATACAACCTTGTCATAAATATGTACAACAATTGTATATACACATACAACATTGTCATAAGTATGTACAACAATGTTATTTACACATCAAACATACAAACAGGTTATGTGTTAATAACCTGTTTGTATGTTTGATGTGTAAATAACATTGAACATATTTATGAAAATGTTGTATGTGTATATTACATTGTTGTACATATTTATTACATCGTTGTATGTGTATATAATATTGTTGTACATATTTATGTCATCGTTGTATGTGTATATAATATTGTTGTACATATTTATGACTATGTTGTATGTGTAAATAAAATTGTACATATTTATGACTATGTTGTATGTGTAAATAACATTATTGTACATATTTATAACATTGTTGTATGTGTAAATAAAATTGTACATATTTATGACATCGTTGTATGTGTATATAACATTGTTGTACATATTTATGACATCGTTGTATGTGTATATAACATTGTTGTACATATTGAGAATGTTATATGATATATTACAATTGTTGTATTTATTTATAACAGTGTTTCTTTTATGTGTATACCATTTGTGTATTACAGATATGACATTATATTTGTTCATAACATTGTTGTTTGTATAAATAACAATGTTATATATGTGTATAAGTGATTGTTCATATAAACGACAATGTTGTATGAATACAACACATTGTTTTACATTTAATAATCATTGTTTTACTAAAACACATGTGTTTATTTTGTAATATGACATAGCACACGAATATTTAATATGTGTTACTATATATAGCATACTCATCTCTTTGATAATGGTCCTTATTTACTCTCAATATCATAAAAAAAACAATTAAGTCTGAACATAGACAATTTATGTTTCATTTCTTTTTACATTATTTATTAATAATGTCTTTGAGCTGCTTATATTGAATTCTTTTGTAATTGTTTTGAATTAAACCATAGTCTGTCAGTTGAATATTTAACACTGCAGGGTTTTAAAATTTAAATTATTTATCAAAGTTTTTTTCTCTGCTGAACATCAAAAACATTTTTCCATTTAGTTACATTTTTTATTAGAAAATACTATATTTAAAGTTATTGTATTATGTTACATACATGTATTGTAAGCATACATTTTTTTATTTTTTTTTATATAGAATGCTTGTTTCAAACTCGGAACATGAAAATATTAGTTTTTTTACAGACACTCCATTTACAAATTTAAAGCAAAAGAAATATTAACCATCCGTCCTTCTCTCTGGTTGCATTCAGCTGACTGTTCTAGAAAGTGTTAAAAAAAAAGATTTACTCAAATTTGACAACTGGCCCAGACAATGTTACAAAATCCTTCAGATTAAGTCACATTCTGCTGAATGTCAATTTTGAGATCCTTAATATTAAGTAACATTCTTCCGATTGTGACAATATTACAAAACCCTTTTTTTTAGTCACTTTCTACTGTCCGTCAATGTTAAAACCATTTAGACTTATTCGCATTCTGACGACTGACAATATTACAAAACTTTTTAGATTTAGTCACTTTCTGCTGACTGTCAATGTTAAAACCCTGAAGATTTAGTCACACTCTGCAGACTGTGACAATGTCACAAACCTTTTATATTATGTTACATTCTGCCAATCGATTCAGTCAAATTGTGCTGACTGTTAATG